CCAAGACATCCCCCTGCCCCAGGTGAGGAGAGAGACTCCGGCTTCTTTAACGACTAATGGGAAAGCAGAATCCCTCAACATGGCTAGGACCTCAGTGATGGAAGAGCTTACGGAGCTGGAGAAGCAGATTGAAATCATCAAGCACGAGCTGCAACTCGCCATGGACAGAAAATCAGAGCTGGAAGAGTATCAGAGGACAAACAGGACTGCAGAGCCCTAGGCCAGCATACCTGGGCCCTTTCCCCTTTTTTTCCTTTCTCCCCTTCCTCTGTAAAATTTGTACCACACTTTTGTAATGCCAGAAAGAGGTGCAAAAATAAAGCAGGCAATATGCTCTTCACGAGAGCAGAAATTGCAGCAGCCCACAGCCACTGCCACCCTCCTGAGTCCTCCTCCTTTCACAACAAGTTTCTCATTCTCCTGGCAAGCATCAGCCATTCCCAAGGGACTGGAGAAACTAGGAGCATCCGAACAGGGAGAGCTGCTGGTTCCTTCACTTGACAGTACAGTGAGGTTCCCACTTTTTTTAGCCCTTTCTGTGCATTGATTCAAAAAAAGAAAAAGGAAAAAAAAAAAAAAAGAAGGAAATTTAAACTGCTCATTGGAAGCATGTCCCGTGTTGGTATGTTTTTGTTGTGATATCTATGGGTCTAGTCTCCGTTCATGCAAAGGCTCCTAATGGTTGCCTCATTACACCAGGTGCTAGTTCTGTGTTGGCAATCCCTTCCCTCCTGGCACAGGCTGTGGTTTCACGAGACAAATTCTTGGTGGCAATCCCAGTACACACCATTCCCTCAGCTCTGTCAGCACAAATGCAGATGTGGCTGCTCTGTGACTGTGATAAAGGAACTCACCCAGCTTAAAAATAACTTGGCAAAAACAAAAACACCACCTCCTGTCTGCTTCTGAGCCCAGGTTCGGCTTCCACTCCCACACAGAGAGAAGCCATGCAAACAGCCGCACCAGCAGATGTGAGGGGATGGGTTCACGGGTGGCACAGAGCAAGGATGAGGGGAAGGAGGAGTGGCAGTACTGTAGATCAGTATTTACCACCCAAGGTGAAATATTTACCAGTGTGAAATTACTCCCTTAATATTCTCTGTCTTCAGTTGACAATAAGGTTCTTTCTCACAGCTGAAGTGACACAAAGGGGCTCTGGTCCATGGTTTATTCTGACACCAAGCTCCCACCAACATCAAAGGGAGTCACCAAAGCCTTCTTGTGGACCAGGGTTCACTGTGAAGAATGAGAGTTGTGATTGCAAAGGCAATGTACTGAGTGGAGCTCCCTCCCACCTGGATGATGAGTAGAGGGGAAGGAAGGGTAAGCTGTTCAGCATCTGAATAAATACTGCATCAACCCAGCTGACTGTGTTATTTAAACAGGATGTCTATGAATTTTTAAACAACACTTCCCAACACATCCCATGTTACAGAGAAAAAGAACATTTGTAACACCATCAGAATTAGCTCTGGTCTCCCAGATATATCACCAAAGTAATTTTTACCCTCCCTGTGTCTCCAGCCACCTGTGTGAACATTGCCAGGGGTGATGTTCTCACCAGGCATGGTTTAAAGGCTACAGGAAGATCTGAAATTGTATTTTGGGGGCTAAAATAGGCATTCTACCTTTTTGCAGCTTTAACATTTGAAAAAACACTCGCAAATGAAAAGCTCCGCATAGACCACTGAAAACTGATAGCAGCGACACCCAGACTAATTAGCCCCAAGAGGATTTCGTGTTCTGTTCCCTGCTCAGTCCTTGGCCTCTGCTTTCGGGCAGCAAGTGTGTCTGCTTCTTTTAATACAGTCACACAGGAAAGAGAGACGAGGACATAAAACAGGAAAACAGGATGCAGAGCCCTGCACATCAGATAGGTCTGAAAGACCTAGGATGCCCCTTCTTTCCTTGCTCCTGACACGCTAGATGCCTAGGGGCAAGCCACTTTGGTTGCTTTTGTTGCCTTCCCTTACCCTCCCTCCCTCATTCACATAGTCAACCTTTTAGGAAGAGCTTCTTATTTGCGTAGCATCCAGTATCTTACAGCCTCAACATCATTTGGTTAGAGCAGATGAACGCTGCTCTTTTCATTACTATGAGACAAACACTGGGAAAGAAGTATTTCAGCCCAATTTTATCAGTATGTTATCAATGGTTTGTAATGTCTGCAAGCACTACATCTCCACCTGCATGACCCCAGAGAGATTAACTTTTAAACAAAAAGTAATTGAAAGTGCTAATGATATGTTCAACAAAAATGTGTATCCAAAGTTCCAAGTTCCAATCCAAACACCCAATCTTTCAGCAAACCACTCTTCATTTAAAAACAAAAATGTAAGTGAAAAAATGTTAACAACCTAATAATTAACGTTAAGCAAAAATCTGTATTTCTGGTGGGTGCCTTGGACTGCTCCCACAGCAAATGCAGAACAGGGATTGCTCCAAATTAACACAGCACCAGCTAGAAGCCTTTTGGGAGAAGATCCAAGTTATCGTTGCCTAAGAGAAATGCTATTTGGCATGTTATTTTCTTACTGAACTATTGCTCCAGCCTGATCCCATAGGAGACAGAAAAAAAGATTGCCATAGCTTTCTATAGGATAGGGAGTATCACACGTGTGTCAATGCCTGCAGACTGCATAAACCGGGAAGGGTCGGCCATGACAAGAAGATGCACTGGAGACTGTAGATGATGGTTCTGGTCTGTCTGTATTGTTGGGTCCCACGTTTAATTCCCCCCTCCTCAGACCAAGGGAGGAATTTGACTTCCTCAGGGATTTTATCCTGTCTGGATTCCACAGAGCCCTGGACACATCTAGCATCATGTAAGGAAGCAAAGCCCACAGGGGAGAAAGCAAGAGGTCATTGCTTACCATCAGGGCACAGCCAGGGGGCTGGAAACTCTGCACTATCCTTAGAACAAGCTCGATCTTAGGGAAGAGGAGGGCAGGAGATTTACAGGACAGCAGTCAGTTCAAACACTTCTCCAACTTCAGTTATCACAAGAATAAAATAACTGACAGATTTGAAGAACAACAGGTTATGTATCAAATAAGAACACAGGTGACGACTCTCGTGCTTGACACAGGGTCATGCTACTGACATCAACTGGCCTGTGCTAGCCGAGAGATTCTTACACCCTGTACAAGATGAGTAGCGAGAAGGAAAATCAAACAAAATTTCCAGTTTGCAGCTTTATTTCGATCTGATCCATCTGACAGGTTGGAATTAAAAAAAAAAAAAAAAAAAAAAAAAAAAGGAAAAAAATCCAAAGCAAAAACCATGCCCCTCAACCCCCCCCACCTTTCATTCTACATTTATTCTGCCCATGATACATAATTGTCACATTTATACGCTGCTTTGTGATAACAACGCTCTTTTAAAATCCTACTGATCAAGCATACAGATTTAAAAGAAATCTTGCAAAACCACTCTTCTTTATATATGTAAGTATGTACACACACTGTTAGGGTTAGAGAGGATTTTTCTCTGTTTACATTTAATTACTCTCAGACACTGAATTTAGACAAGATTTTTAATAACGAATACTTGTCATTCCTACCCTTCTTTCACCCCAAAATACTTCTAGTATTATTTCCACTCATTCTGGCAAGTCAAAACAGACCATCTCAGGTTTTCATTCTTTCTCATTCTTTGAATTACAAGCACAGAGAGAAACTTAGTCACTTCCAAAATGAGCTTAAACTAAAATATTATTTTAAAATAAGAAATACTTTATTCTTAGGGAGGAAGGAGAAAATAGGAGTTTCGGAACCTTATCTGAGAGACAAATCCAGGCATTTTCAAATGTTTGTTTCCTGTCAGTCATGACCAGACACTGCCAGCATACACACCAAAGTTTCAAGCTTGATGTCTGACAGAAAGGTGCTGTGACTTAATCACTGGGAAAGTGTAAAGCGGCTTTGCACCTCTGCAAGGGCTCTTTAATTCCAACTGTTGTTCACAGCTGTAAAAGGAAGTCTGCTGCTACAGCAAAGCTGTTTGAGGATCCAGACTGTGTGTTTACTGGTGACCCAAGTCCTGGTTTTGATGAACAAGCATCCGTACCACAAGAATCAGCATTAGCATTCCTAATTTACTGTTCTTTCTCCAACTTCATGTCACAAACTGTAATCCAGGGAGCAACTTCCAGTGAAAGCAAAGAGGGTTCTGCTTTCATTTCTTCTATGCATGCTGTACCAGAACTTGAGCCATGCCACAAACTCTGAGCAACCCAGCTTCCCCTTGCAAAGACAGGGTCATGTGTTCCTTCTCACTTTCCAGGATTCATAATAATTTACAAAGTTTAATTTGTATTTTCTGAATGTTTTCAGGAAGATAAAAATAATAATGCATACTGGAAGAGTCTGATTAGTTGCTTTCACTTTACTATTGTTTCTATTATTTCCTACAGTGAATAGAGGAAGGTAGTACAGATTTTATGATTCAGGGAAGGGACACACATGAGACAAACCTCTGACAGTTGCACCTTCCAAGAAAGTTAAGTTTACAGGAAAAACACTATGATTTTAGGAGCAGACTTCAAATACAGCCTTGCACTACAGGGAGCGTACACTATAACCTGTGCCATGTCCTTTCACAAAATTCGCAGCAGCCATGACAGAATGACTGCATAAATAAAATTTGGGCTTGTTCACCCTGAAGAAGAGAAGACTGAGAGGGGATCTCATCAACGCATACAAATATCTTAAGGGCGGAAGTCAAGAGGACGGAAGCAGTCTGTTTGCAGTGGTGTCCAGCGACAGGACTAGGGGCAATGGATGCAAACTGAAACATAAGAGGTTTCAGTTGAATATGAGGAAGAACTTCTTCACTCTGAGGGTGGCAGAGCACTGGAACAGGCTGCCCAGGGGGGCTGTGGAGTCTCCTTCTCTGGAGATATTCAAAGCCCGCCTGGATGAAGTCCTGTGTAGCATGCTCTAGGTGAGCCTGCTTTAGCAGGGGGGTTGGACTAGATGATCTCCTGAGGTCCCTTCCAACCCTTACGATTCTGTGATTCTGTGATTACGCAGCATCTTGGCCCTTCTGTGGTGTCACAAATAAGGTAGTGAAGATACAGCCAAAAGGACAGAGGTTGTTTTTGTTAACCATTTTTTGAAAACAGAAGGAGGAAAAAAATTAATCTCTCTACTTTAGAATATTAAAGCTTGTGAACAATGTTTCCAATAACTGGAAAAAGGACAGGAACACAGATAGATACTACCACAGGCAAGAAAAACAAAAATAACCCAGACGACAGCTTTTATTAGATTTTGTGCATTACAATATTACTCTTTGTGGCAAAGTTGCAACAAAGTAACTCCTACAAATTCTTTTCTGGACACGAAGGAAAATGACAGCAATGCCTCAACCTAGGGGAAGATGTCCACATCAGCCAGGGTTCATCAGTGGAATGCTGCTTTCAGAGATTCTCCAACATCTTGTCTTTCTCCTCGTCTGGATACTAAGATGTGCGCTTGCTTTTGCGGGTAGGAAGGATATTTATACTAATGCACCAGCCTTCACAGATTCTTACCCTGATGCAGGAAGATACGCTGTCTAACGAGCCATTCCACTTCAGTCTACAGATGCACATGTTCATTTGTTATTTGGCCCTTTAACTGGGAAACTATGCACTCTCAGAAACACTACCATACCTTGATGGGGTTTAATAATTAACATCCAAAGAAAACTCCTCACATAAAGGCCTCATTTATCTCTGCTGCACTACAGACAGCTTCCATCCCACCAAGACAAGACTTCAGTTAGATGTTCCCAACCTGGCAGTGTGAAAGTGATGGATGGGAAATGTCCTCTCAGGCACAAAGAATCCACAAAAACTGAGGGCAAGAATAAAAGAAAAGGGACAAGAAAGGAATCAAGATCCAGAATCTGTTTCTTTCTGTACCCTAACCACACTTCTCAGAAGAGACTGCAGATCAGCTGACAGAAGCACTGACTGCCCCAAAGGTGACAATCACAGAAAGTGAGGGAGGCTGGGAGGTCAGCAGTAAGCGGCAACTTTCCATCACTCCAGTAAAAAGAATCAACCAATGTAGATCCTGTGGAAGTCATTGGCACCAAAGGCAGCGTTGCACTTGGGGCACTTACGCTGCCGGGTGTCATAGCGTGTTTTCACACATTCAAAACAGAAGACGTGAAAGCACTTTGTCAGCACAGCATCCTTTTTGCGCATGTTACAGCATGGGCAGGTCAGGCGGGCCTGAAAGACAGAAACATTACAGTGAGGGCCCACTGCATTGCACTAGGTATGTTAAAAGATGACTGAAGATGAAGGTCCTTCCATTCCTCATAAGGTGGTTTCTTCAATGCAAGGTAAGTCTACAAAGCCAGAGTATAGACAAGACATGTCAAATACTGAAAACATGACCGCACAGCCTTTTGACTGAAGTAGAGTTAAAGAGAGAAGTTGATAGAGACAGCTACTCACTTTGTAATCCTTGATTTCTTCCATTAATATCTCATCACAGTTGGGAACCATGTCAGGCTTCTTGGTGGTTTCCAGCTTCCTGCGTAACCTAGAAATATCTTCCTGCATAAAAACAAGAGACCAAATAAATGAGCAGTATATTCTCTGTCATACCTTCTTCAGGGACCAAAGGGAACTAGCACCACCCAACAGTGCACCTGGCTAAGTCATGCTACCTATACTTTCATCCTTGATAGTCCAGCAGATTTATGACAAATTACATTATCATCCGGTGACACACATATTGCCAGATATCAGTGGACAAAACCTGAGAGAGCTGAGACCTAATGAAGCTGAAATCAAAGTGAAACTGAACCCCCCAAGAGGTAGTGTAGTTGCAACCCACTCCCAGCTCAATGCCAACTCAAGCTCCTGTACAAGCAGACAGACACCAAAGCAGACAGATATTGAAGGATTGTGCATGGGGTATATATACCTCAGCCCTTTTGAAGTTGAACATCTCTTTCTCTCTAGTTACTCTGTTTTCCACAATCTCATCCTGGAAGTCATGTAACTTCTTCTGAGCCAGCTCTAGCTGGGCTTTCAGATCATCTGCAAGCTGGGCTGCATCCATGGCCTGAAAAAGAAAACCAAAGTAGTACCAAGCATGGAAAAAGAGCTCTAGTGATTTCTAGTCCCTCTGCCTGGCAATCCAAGACTGCTCACAGGACATCAGGTTCCATAATACCAGTGAGATCTAGGAGCCTTCTATGCTTCCCAAAAGACAAAAACTTCATCTTATAACCCAAGAGGAAATCAACCAATCACTCACCTTGCGTTTGTTCATTTCCAGGGCCTGTGTTCGGAGACCTAGTTCTTTCTCGCCTGTTCCAATGCTGCTTTGCAGTAAGTGTTCCTTCTCCTCCAGCTTACGTACAACCTGAAGCTGGGCATCCACCTTGGAAATGGAGAGAGGAGGTACAGAAAGTCTGAAATGAATGCTCTGCAGGTGTTCAGTGTTCTCATTAAAGCTGCATGCCAAAACTGTCCCTGCTTCCCCATCACCAAGGAGTACCTCTTCAGCTTGCCTTTTTCTTCCTGAACAGACAAACTAGCAGTCTAAGAGCAGTATCCAAACCTCTCCAGTGAATGCTTTAAAACTTAGCAGTCCAATACAACAAAGATGTCTTATTTTTTGGAAGATGGCTTGGAGAATTGCTGCGAGGCAGCAAACAGTTCCACCTTAGTTCCAATGATGGCAGAATATATACACAGAAGTACCATTACGACAGGAAAATGACTTCCCACTTTCCTTCTCCCTCCTGTTCTCCATAGCAATGGACCTGTAGGACATTTTATACAGCAGTCTCTGTTTCTTACTAAGACAGGTCCCTTTGAAGTCTGATGGAGCATACCTAGATTAGGGGAATATTCCCTCCTGTACTGATTTCGGCAGGGATGAAGTTAATTCTCTTCACAGCAGCTGATACAGAGCTATATTTTGCATTTGGGACCAAAATAGCATCAAACACACATTACTGTTTTAGCTATTGCTGAGCAGTGCTTACACAGAGCCAAGGACTTTTCTGCTCCTCGCCCCACCCCACCAGGGAGAAGGCTGGGGGGGCACAAGCTGGGAGGGGGCACAGGCAGGACAACTGACCAAATTGATATCCCACACCATATGACAACATGCTCGGCACATAAAGCTGGGGGAAGGAGGAGGAAGGGTGGTGATGTTCGCAGTGATGGTGTTTGTCTTCCCAAGTAACCATTACGCATGATGGAGCCCTGCTTTCCTGAAGATGGTCAAACACCTGCCTGCCCATGGGAAGGAGTGAATGAATTCCTTGCTTTGCTTTGCTTGTGAGCATGGCTTTTCATTAACTATTGAACTGTCTTTATCTCAACCCACCAACTTTCTTGCTTTTTCCCTTCTGATTCTCCCCCCATCCCACTGTGGGGGAGCAAGCAAGCAGCTGCATGGAGCTTCACTGCCTACAAGAGTTAACCCACACCACCTCCACCTTCCCCCATTAGTTCTGTTGTCCTCTCTCCTTCTCCCAGGTCACCTGTGTCTTCAATGTCAAAACTTGGTCTGCCAGCTCCTCCTTCTCCTCTTTCAGCAGCTTGTGGATCTGGTTGGACTTGATGCGTTCTGACATCAGCTTGAAGTTGGCATCATCCTTCTCACGCAGCTGCTGCATCAGGCGGATGTTCTGCTCCTGCATGTCTTCAAAGGCTTGGCCTGTGACATCCATTTCTGACAGCAGGGCCTCCTCCTCCTGCAAAAGAATCACAGGCTCTGGCAAAACTGCCTCCCATACACCCTTCAATGACCCTAAACATCTTAGAGACACCAAACCTAGCACAGATAAAGGAAGACTTCTCAGATTCAGAGGACAGTATCTTCCCAGCAACCAGAAAAAAAGCGCTCCCTAGAATTCTGCACCACAGCACAGATGCCCCAAATTAGAAGGTATAGAAAAGAGATGGTCATCTCCACAAGCATTCACAGACTGCGGCTTGTCCGCTGGCAAAATGTGCCACAGTCATTGCCAGAGCTGGGCAGAAACAGCTTCCCAACTTCAGACAGCTAGCTGAACAGCTGTCATATACACCAGGCCAAGAATTCTACATGTGGACAACTCAACGGCTTCCAACTAACAGGCTGCCAAGGCCCTTAAACTCACTTAGGCCACTTCAACATTAAAGGACTAAGTGACAAAATTAAACAGTTCTGTGCTATAAGGAAAAGAACCTAAATCTAAAAAAGTACATGTCAAGTCACATGGCTTGCCTCTCCCCTGCTGAGGTGGTCCTGCTCTCTTACCATTAGATTAAATCCTTTTTTGTGGAAGAAGGTATGTCACAGGACCATGCACATGTATTAATTATATGAACTGTGCAGATAATACCTTTAAAAAGAAACTGTAACCTCCGTCCCTATAGACTGATCCAGCCATTCCTCCTCTGTGCTCTTCACCTAGGCTATAAACAATTAAACATTCCCCACCCCCACCCCCCCCATGAGCTTTGTGACACCCTGGTGGCGGGGGGGGGGGGGGGGGGGTTGATTGTTGTTTTTTTGGCTGATTGGGCTTTTTCCCCTGCAATAAACAGGGACAAAACTCACATCTCTGGCACATATAGAGACAGAAATTCCTTCTCTCAGGTAACCTTCCTGGCACAAACTTAAAGGCAGCTCCTTCCCAGGTGCTCCAGCCAAGACAGAACTCATCAGAAACTTCTCACCTGCTTAGCCATGGCTAGTTTCTTCTGTAAATACTCAATTTGTTCCTCCACTGCTCGGATCTTGCGGAGGGCATCCTCATCAGCCATCTTTTTACTCTCCTTTTTCTCCTTGTCTTCCAATTCTTTCACCCTCTGCCTCAGTTCTTCCAGCTACAGCAAGGACAAAACAGAAGTTACACTAAACACAAGAATGTGGCCTGAACATTATGAAGAGCTTGTCTTCCCCAGAATTCTCTGAAACATTGGAGAAACTGCCTTCAAAGCATGGAAGAAGAAAACTCATCTCAACAGTACAGTGTATTACTGGCAGATGATCCGTTAAGATGGGCTGTAAACCCAAGATCTTGGCCTCAAAACCTTTAAAAATTCCATAGTATCTTTTATCAGAGTAGGAACATTAGTCTCTTGCAGTTGTATATGTAAGGGTATGGGGACAGAGAGCATCTGCTCCTTTAAGGGCATCTGGTGAAGGACCTTTTCCAATACAAAAAGGGATAATAAGAAAAGGAGGGAGACATAAACAAAACATACAGAGACACAAGCCTGACAAATTAGAAGGGAGAGCCAAACCTGGTCAGTCACATTCTCAATTAAGAGCACATGAGAATGTAACAATGTTTATTCCAGCAAGGTTATCTGACTGTGGACCCTGTCAATTGGGAAACTAAGCTGGGGGGTGGGGGGTGTGTAGGAGGTGGGAGGGATACAAGAGGATACCAGAAACAAAATATAGAGACCTGAAAAAACAGACAGGGAGACAAGAAAAAAACCTCCCCAGTCATAATAGCTGATAGGCTACCAAGAAACTACAAGCACCACTTCTAGGAAGATCACCCTGGACTTTGCAACTGGCAAGACTGTAAACCAGGGGTGGATCCTGGACTGGGAAGGTTGTGGGAATCGATATAGCTCTACAAACCCAGGAGGGACATGCAGGGGAAAGGAGAGAAAGGATGAAAAAATTGGGGTTAGACAGAGAAGGTTATAAAGGAACTGGTCACATGTAAAATGAGGGCAGTCAGTACACACTTGTCTGGCTCAGCCCTGCACATGATCACCACAGCCTGTCCTATCTTCTTATATCTTCTTATTAAATATTCTCTTAACTATCTCTGTGTAATCTAACTTTCTACCCTATGTGTATGTGTGTTGCATGGAGTAAGTGCTAGGTACAGATGAGACTTGAGGGATCTGCAAATGTGTGTGTGCTCATGAACCTAGAGACTGTTGTGTGTATGCCTGCACTAGTGACATTCCACCTCTACCAGCTGAAGAGGAGGAATGGTACGTATCTGTCTATGCTTATGTTTTATGGGTCCTATATGTACATGCTATTGAAGGCAGCACCCTATCTGTGGCAGCCTGACTGGCCATGTCAGTGTCCTCTCTGTGTGTACGTCTCTGGGACATGTGCTCAGCTTTGCTACTGGTTGAATCTGCAACCGAGAAAGTGGGAGCCATGTCCCTCTGCCTGGGCCAAGGGATCATCCCTTCCTAGAGGAGGACATCCCAAAATCTGCCTGTTCATCTCCAGGCCATTCCAATTTCTCTGTGAAGTGACAAAGATGAAAAGAGGAACAATCTCCAGTTTTGAAGACAAAATGAACACAGTTCAGGTCTGCAGTATCTGAAAAGAAGTAACACGCCTAAGAGAAAAATGGAAAAGAAATGAGATTTACCTCAGCTTTTGCCTTCTTCTCAGCTGCCATCAGCTGCACTTTGTCTCTCTGCTCTTTGGGGGCAGAGCGGTACATATCTAGCAACAGCTTCATCTCCTTCTGGCTCTCCTGGGCCTTCCTGGAGACAGGGAGATAGACAACTGTGAGAACACAGTAGGACAGCTATGCTGTTACATATCCAGCATGAGACTCAGAGCAGTATTCTCTCCATCTCCCACATGGTATGCATATGGAGTAATCCCTGGCTCATCTTACCCTGGTAATGTAAAATAGCCAAGGAGTACAGGCTGAAGGCTGAAAAGAAACATGTTCAGGCACATGGGTTGAAAAGCCAAGAGAAGTGGGGTAGGGAGGAAACACATACCCTGATAGTAAGCACAAACCATCCATCTCTGCTTTGTACTGATCCAAAACAGGGAAGACTACTGTGCCCTTTATTAATAACCTGTTGCTGTAAAGCTTTATACAATTGTTATGGCAACAACAAATAAAGATTACTTGACCCACACCATGAAGTATCTGGTTTGGCAATTCACGCTTAGGCTGTTGTAGGAGAAACATTACTACATTGGCCAAGTCACAATCAGATACAGAAGGTGCCAGAATCTCCCATTTCAGTGAAGCTAATCTTGTAAGAGTGAACCACAAGTTATCTCACACAAACGCCCCAGTCTGGGCTCTACTCAAGCAGGAAAGGAAGGGACAACTCTTACTTGAGCTCAGCCTTCAGCTGCTTGATCACTTCAGCCTCCTTCTTTCTTCCGTCTTCATGCTTCCCTTTCTCCTTCTCTTTGGACTCTCTCTCCTTCTCAGATTCCTTCTGCTTCTGCTTTTCCCGCTCTCGTTCCTTTTCCTTTTCCTTCTCTTTCTCACGCTCTCTTTCTTTCTCTTTTTCCTTCTCTCTCTCTCTCTCCCTCTCCCTCCTCTCTCGCTCCCGTTCTTCTTCATCTCGCCTGGCCTTCATTTCATTAACATCTTCAGAAGCAGCCTTGGGAACAGACACTTGGGCAGAAGTATCATCAGGTTCCTGCTTGATCTCTGGAGGTTCTTCCTTTGTGTCTTCAGTGCTGGACTGGGACTGCAAGAGAGCACTACCACTGCGAGAGCGGATCTGTTAGAATAGCAAGAAAGAAGACACAGAAGAAAAACCATTAAGTTCTTTGCCAGAAATCTACCTTATCCCACTTCCCTTGTCTTCCCAGATCCATGTTTGCATGCCCCCTGCATCATTGCTGCTACTTTTCATGGAGCACTATGAGCTACAAAGGAGGACCATTCATTTAGTAAGCGGAAGCAGTATAGTGTAGAGCTCTATCAAAAATGACATTGCATCCTGCATGCCGTATCAGAAAGCTGGATATTGCAGGCAAGGGTGACAGCATTTCCCCTTCTCCTAAGTGCTTTCTGCTCTTTTCTGGTATCTCCTGCTCTGATACCTTGCTCAAGTCAGATTGGGCCTCTCTCAGTTTGCGCTTGTATCTTAACACCTCTCCCTTCAGCTGGTGGTTGTGATTTTGGAGGCTGCTGATGAGATGACGCATCTCCCGATTAATTGGGCCTACAAAAACAGAAACATAACTGTAACAAACCCCACCTTTGCCAACCTTCTGTGAGGACATTCATGGAGCTGGAGAACAAGCTAGGCGTCCATGACAAAAAACCAAAATAAGACTATTGTCATTCTGCCACACTACAGAGCAACCGAACACATTTGCAGGAAAAAAGTCATGTCAGTCTTACATGCACTTGTAAGTCCTTGCAAATCCCCAGTCCTAATTTTCCCTTAACATTACTTTTTTCCCCACATTCCTAAGGGAAATGTATCATGCTACAAAAGATCTCTATGATTTAAATGCTACTTTAGAAATAACTTCTTTATACTTTCCAATGCAATTTGAAAATTACTGGTTTCCTATCCAGGTTGATATTCCAGACTCGTAAATGAATCCCCCCAAAAAGTAATTTTTAATAATACAAAATATTCTGTCATAAACCAAATTATTAGCAAAATGTATGTATTTTGCAGCTTCTATAAGGAAACCAGACAACGTGGAGCTGACGTCCCATAAAACATGTGAAGAGGTTTGTTTTTTGAGATAGAGAATCTTCCAGAACAAGTATTTAACAATAACAGAGAAAGAATCAAGCCGGGTGTTTTACTGCGATCCAGCCTGTAACAGACATTTGGTGTGGGGAAGTGTTGTTTGTTTTTAAGCACAGCAGAAAAACTTCATACCTGCTTGTTCATTGGCAGCAAGTGTCTGTTCAAACTCTATCCTCAACATCTCATATTCTTTGCGGACTTGCGCCAGGGTGTCCTCTAGCTGAATCACCTCCGTGCGTAATTTCTTGTGAAGGCTGACCTCATCCCTCTGAGAAGTAAGAAGGGGACAGAACTTGGTACTGTAACCCTGGAGTATCACTCACCTCATCAACATGAGGTACCAGAACAGATGAATTACTGCCAAGAAGGTAAGTTTCCAGAGCCACCCAGACCCAGCAGTGATGGTCAAGGGGGTGACAACATTCCCTAGCCTGACAGAGCAGAGGTGCTACCTCAATTAGTTCCACTTGGCGCTGATGCGTGGTGCGGGTTCCATGAAGCAGAGTGCGGGCCTCATCAAGATGTGCCTTCAGCTGGAGACTCTCATTATACAAAACAGAAAATTGGGACTGCATGCAGCGATATTCTGGGGTCTCCTTCACAGCCTCTTCCACTGCTCGTCGCAGCTCAACCTAGTCAGAACACAAGAAAATGCCACAGAAATAAAAATTATCTCCTTGTCTTTGGTATCTGTTTTGCAAGGTAGGAGAACAGTGAGAGCAGAACTTTAATAGCACTGCTGTGAAGTAGATGTAAGTGATATGCTTCAGTATCAATTTAAAAAGCTTGTGCTTTCTCTGCATGCACTGGGCTGTTCCTCTTGCATAGTACCAAGTTTTGGATTCTTAAGTTCTGCAATAGTTTCTCTTAAAGATATGAGCTCGGAAAACATTATATACCTTCCCAGTGGATTTACTGTGAAACCATAATCACCTAAATTAATAAGGATGGACACATAGAAAAGTACGATAGAAAACTAGACAACACACATACAGCTTGACACTTATTAAGAGAAAAAGAAAGTTGGAAGCCAAACTGTATTGATCTCAAACTCATGTGGATAAACAAAATTTAGAGGTGCTTCAAGAGAGTTTCTGGAATCTCATCTCTGAAGCTTAGGCTATCAGCTCAGACATTTCTCATAACAGGCTAACAGACCTATTAATCACTAAGATAAAATGTAGATTATTCTCTATATCATATACTTATCTAATATAGAGTCATAGCTTTTTGTGTTACCACCTTTAAGACGTAAGAAACTCATCCACTGTTTCCTATCTATCCATTCTACCACACTGGGAAAGATTTAAGTTCATGGACTCTTTCAAGAGCTCTCCTACACAAGTTCCCCAATTTTTTCAGTGCTCTGGTTCCAGTTGCACAGGACAGGGGGAAAAGTAGAAGAGGGGTCAATACCTGTAAAGAGGTGAAATCAGTTTTAACTAGACATTATTAAAATATACTGACTCGACCAAAATGGAAAGCAGGAAATAAGAAACCACTACAATTTCCAGTGATGACCACATGGTGTCACCAGTGCACTGGACTGCAAGCCTAAGCCACACAAACTTGCTAAATTGTACCCTGTACAAAACATGACCCAGGTAAAGGGCAAGCACAGAACAGAACAGTATTAATGAGGTTTTCCAGAGACGCGGTACAGCAAGACAGGGCAACCAACCACACAGAATACCTTCATCCTCGAATAGGTACACGTCTCACCTTGAGTTTTTCATTCTGTGTTGTTACTTCCTCAAGATCCTGTCGTAGTTCCTCCAACTCATTGAGGCGATTTCCAGCAAGCTCTTTATTCTCTTCCAGCTCTGCATTCATCTCCTCAAACTGTTGGGGATAAACTGCTTGTAAACCCTACTGTTAATGTATCTACTAATTAAGTAACTGTTTAAATACTAACAGACTTAGCATTACCAAGTGAGACAGAGTCTACTTCCATCAGGCCTGTTTTACAAGTAGGAAATGTGTACACAGACAAAATGGCTTGCACAGTCATCAAGATTTGGGGCAAAGGAGGTATCAAAATTCTGTTCCAATCTACAGCCCTACACATAAGCTCTCCTTGACTTTATTCTTCCCCTTGCCCACAACCAAGCCCCTGACATTACCTTGCGGGCATTAATGGTGATTGTGCCCCCATAGAGGCTGCTCCCAGCTCCATACACCTTGTAGCCTTTGGAATTTACCTGCAAAAAAGGCAACAGATTTCATCAATACCCAATTAAATGCCAAGACTGCTGATACAGCATATTCATAGAATCATAGAATCATAGAATCATAGAATGTTTTGGGTTGGAAGGAACCCCTAGAGGTCATCTAGTCCAACCCCCCTGCAGGAGCAGGGACACTGCTAACTAGATCAGGTTGCTCAGAGCCCCGTCCAACCTGGCCTTGAATGCATCCAGGGATGGGGCCTCCACCACCTCTCTGGGCAACCTGTTCCAGTGTTTCACCACCCTCACTGTAAAGAATTTCTTCCTTATATCTAGCCTAAACCTACCCTGGTTTAGTTTAAAACCATTACCCCTTGTCCTGTCAAGACCAAAGATGGTACACTACAGATTCTCACTTCTCACAGTGAAGCACCGTAAGATGTCACACAACTCAAAATTACACCCATTTCTCTGGTTCCCTGGCAAAGAGGATGGTGCTTACTCGTTCCAGAACATCTGCTAAATGCCGGTTGAGCCTCTGCTCCCTCTTGCGTATCTTGTCAATATCCCACTGAAGGTCGTCAATCATAGTCTCCAGAACAGACACCCGAGATTCTGCTGTCTCCACTCTCTCTTGCAGCTTGGAGAACTGCAATCAAAAGAGCGTTTCAGCCAGCATATCAAATAGGATCAACATTTTTTGTGACTGCTCAGAATTAGTTTTTCTCTTATTCATCATACCCTGAATTCATGTGCTTTCCACCCATCTTTTGCTGTGGCAACAGACTACTCAGTGAACTGTCCTGAATTTTACACTGGCTGTATCCTAACACAGTAATAAAAGTAAGAAAAAACTGAAAATTAAGAGCAAAAAGCTGGTAATATGTGACAGAATACAGAGGCAGCCATCTCAGCTTATTCAAAAGGTTGGGTTTTTTTTAAATATTTTCAATCTGTATGTTCATCTACTCTACAGACCACTATAGTTCTTGGTGGTCTAACACTGAGCAAGGCCAGCGTTAACACAGTTTTTAAAGGAACTGAAACCTCTGAAACAAATACTGCCAAAACCATGAATCCCTTCATGGTTAGGATCATGTTGTAATTAATGTCATGACACTTTCACACGTAACTCAGAGAAACCAAAGAATTTGAAATGACAGGGATGTCAAATCAACTGTCTCAGCTGTTTACACAACCACCTTAGCATCACCTTACCACCTCCTCTGCTCTGTTTTCTTTTCAAATTAAATCCACTCAGCTCACTGGTTTGGTTATACTTTTTCATTCAGTGATGTAACAAGCAAATCAATCCAAATTGGACAGAAAATACACCTACAGTTCTCCACAACAACCACCCTTTCCATAACCTTTGTTCAGAAGGCAACTTTCAAACCATGTTGCTCCTGTCCCTCTCCAGGCAATAACCTGACTTCCGAATTATGGTAGCCACAAATTAGAATAAGCAGGACCACAAAGCAGATTTCTTTCTCTCTCTCCTTTTTATACCTCCTGAGACATGATTCTGTGCTTCTCCTGAAGAACATCAGCCAGCTCCTGCAGCCGTCCATTTTCATGTGAGAGGTAGGTATTAAGCTCCAGGACTGCTTCTTCCATCAACGAAATATCTGAAAGATGCATGAAGAAAAGGAAATTAACAGAAATCAAGGAAGATTGGTTTTAATTCTTAAACAGCAAAGAGAGAAAAAAGAAAACAGAAATTTTTGGGCTTAACTTCTGCTTACTGTGTCTCTCCAGCAGGTGGTTCCCCAGGGTCTGATCTCAAGCCACACAGAGCTTTGACTTGTATTCACTAAGCAAAAGACTCATCCCTTAATGTCAGAAATCATCCAATTGTGTTGGTATCAGCAACACACAACATGCCCTCGTAACCCACTGACACCCTAATGCAGATCAAATTCACACATAAATTTGCTGCAACAGGTGGCTGGAGCTAACATACTAGTTGACAATTACAGCAACTGAGTACAGGCTCACATTGCACTAATGCCAATGCTACTACGAAGTTTAAGACTACCAATTAAGAAGAGTAATGCTTCACTACACCAATGCTACACTTGCCAGAGCTCCTTGATCAGAGCACACAGAACACTCTGGACAGAAGTCAAACCAAGGATGAGCTGATATTTCACCTAAATTTTCGTTGAAAAGATTAAAATTCTAACCTTAAGCTAATGAAGTTTTTCAGAGAGTCATCTGAGTGTAAACTGAATCTGCTACATTAATTTTCAGAAGTTAGTCATTTGGCTTTCTTCTGCAGAACTCTGCTTTGTGTTCAAAACTGACAGCTACACTAGGCACACCAAGACATTAGACGGCTACCATTTTGCTCAAAACTCAGTGGAAACTGAGGAGCTGGTTATTCCTACACCTTTTACTAAACTGCAAGTGAGAAGGGAGTCCAACATCAGTTTGCAATACTATTTCATTTCCTCTCTTGTATGCATGAAACCTTTTACACAGTGGCTGAGGACAGCAGAGTGATAAGGTTCAACCATAATCTGTAACCTCTCAGGTGCATGAACACACTACTGGCAGAAACAAGCCTTTCCTTAGCCCAACACACTGCACAGAGTTCTTGCCATCCAAATTTAGAGGCAGTTCTAATACACTTCTAGCATATAATACTAGTATTTATTAGAGGTTTTGATTAGAATTTGGAAAACTAAATGAATTTACTTTGGAAAATAAATAAGCACGAGAAGGACTAGGCCTTAATGCTTACAATGCAGAATCATGTCTAAGCTGGGGGTAGATGAGGATTCTTGAGTATCAGCCAAGCATCAGCCACCTTGGTCATACCTCCACTATTCAGCTTGTGGGACAGCACATCCACTTTCTCCTGCAGCTTGTCATACATTGTCACAATCTGGGCAACAGCACGGCGGGAGGACTCTACACGCTCCTGCAGCTGAGATTCTATCTCCTCACTAGTGCTGCTGGCTAAAGTGGCTAGGAAGGAGAATGCCGGCTCCAGTCCTTCACCTGGGAACAGAAAGAGGTACAAATAAGTAAATGTGCTGTGGCAGGCAACATATCGCTAGTCTTCACAATCACAGAGCCTCTATCACCCTTCAGAAGGGGACATCAGCATTGTGCACAGCTGAAATCCATCTTTTCCACTGTCCCAAGCCAGGTGCCTCACCTCGTTCCCTCTCATCTTTGCGCTCCTGATTACTGTCCGAGTCTGGTTCAGGTTCTGGTACCACCAATGCTTTTCTTTCAGACAAAAGGTCTCCAAGACCTTGGTCCAGGTCGAAACGTTTAAGGATGATGCGGATATTTTCATCAAACTGAATGATGGGACAGGCAAGACAAGACAAAGAATGGATATAAATAAAAGGAGTGCAGTGGAACAGAAGAAGAGAGACAAGTGAACAGTGCATGTAAAATAACAAAACCTATTACTAACCTGATTCCAGTATCGATTGATAATCAGCAGAGAGGCATCATCGGTGGCCTGCCGACGCTCCAGCTTCTCGATGTGCTCCCGTAGCTCATCTTCAATGGCTTGCCGCTGGTCCAGCATCTCTGCTAGTTTTCGGTTCTTCGTCTGTAGGGTCCGGATGTCCATCTCCTCCTGTGCAGAGGCACAAGTCAGGGCACACGGCACACAAGCCAGATCACTGGGCTCATGCAGAAGAGAGAAAGATATTTTTGTTTCCAGGTGAAAAAAAGCAAGAGATTGAGTGGGGGTATGCAAGGAAGACATACCGTTGAAGAAACGCCACCAAGCTTAATGGTCTCCACTGTGGTCCCTGAATCTTCAACCCCTGCCTTCTTCTCTGGAGGTGCAGAAGGGCCAGGGTCTCCAGCTGCCCTTTTATTGCCAATTCCAGACATGATGGCTGAAGCACACAAACACCCACCTTCTCTAAGTTCTTCCTGAACATTAAAAAACACTATTAAAAAAAAAAAATAAAACCAAGAAAAACAAAACACCAAAAAAACCAGCAAGCACACATCCACAAAACCAACTCAATTTAGAGTTCTTAACATACTGAACCAACATGGCAACAAGATGCCCAACACAGTACAGGCTATATAACTCAAAAGGTTTTGGAAAATACTGGTCAACCACTAAGTATTAAAAGATGCCACTAGGATTAGGACTGCAAAGAGCAAGTTGACTGAAAAAAATCCACTGCTCTGTAATGTTAAAACGGAAGCACTGTACCTTATCACGCTGTTTGGAAAGAAACCTTCATGCAGGTTCAGTCTCTGCTTTTCTGATCGCTCTCTGTATTAACAAAAATTACCTGGATTAGACTTCAACAGGCAAGTGAGCCTGTGTATATGTGGTACCAGTTCACTCCATATCAACCAAACTGTTCATATTATATCAACATTCAAAGTCAGTTAAAGATGAGGGCAGCAACACCTCGAAGATGATCATACATAGAGATCTTACAAATCCTATGGAACCACACAGCAATTCTGAACCAAGGTTTGTAAAGCCAGTTTGAAGAGTTTCCCTGTGTATCAGGAGAGACACAGACATGTCTGAAGAGCATTTATCCCTAAGTTAGTGTAATCTAGAAAGCTCTGAACTACTAGTTACAGAATCACAGGATAGTTGAGGCTGGAAGGGATCTCTGGAGACCTGCTCAGTGCTCCTGAATAAAGCAGGCTCAGCCAGCACAGGCTGCCAAGGGCCTTGTCCAGTCAGCTTTTGAGTATCTCCAGAGATAGGAACTTGGCAATGTCTCTGGGCAACCTATCCCAGTACTTGATGACCCTCTGCATTAAACCAGGTTTTTTTATGTCTGAACAGTATTTCTTGCAGTTCCCCAAAATACTATTTAGCAAAATAACAAGTATCTCCTTAAAGGGTTTCCAAAACAAATACAGCAGCTAGTGATGGAAAACGAAACCAATTAGATCTTCATTAGACATCAGCGACATTCTTCTCCCATATTCACTGACACTGTGCCAACTCAATCCACAGATCTCTCTCTACCTCTAAACTAAATGAAACCCAGAAGAAAATTAAATGCAGACCATATAAGCAAGATTTGTATTGTTCCATTTAAATCTATACTGGCATTTACAGTTAAACTAAGGGTTACAAACTGAACCTGCCAGTTCTTATGTATTTGCTTTACCTGAGCAGTTCTACTGAAGGTAATGAGGCTACTGTATTTTTAGGATTAAGCTGGTACACTGCCTTGCCAAATCTTATCATTTAACAAGCATTTTGGCTTGGCATTACCCTTCACCATATGCAAAATGATCTAAAGATTATTTCTAAATGAGTTACTGGAACAGCACATACAGTGTTCCTGTAACCTGCCTTTTAAAATAAGTATTAAATACATCTCAAAATTAAAACCAAAACCAACAAACAAAGACCACTTTTGCATAACCATTTTCCTCATTTTAGCAACAGAACTCACTGGGCTTTGATTTTAGCTAGAGTGACCAGGCCATTGGAGGGGGTGGGGGGAACAGCTACCAGTCACTAAAAACATCTGCTAACGACCAGTCCAATGAGCCACCAGTGACTACTGCCTTTCACATTTTTTGTCCACAGACAAAATATTTCTTCCACTGCCTCCTGACACCATCCCTCACAGCTCTAGCTTCCCCTCTCCCCGCTACTCACTTCCTCACTTACTGCCAGGACATGACCCTCTAAGTTTTCATGACCACAGACCCTCTCCTTCCGTTAGGAACTCAGCCTGACCCTCAGTCCCAGGCTACACACGGTATTCCCCCCCCACAGATCGCACAGACTCATCAGAGACTGACTGTCCTCCCCTACCAGGGACTCAGCTTCCTCTTAATCCCCCTCTTATGATTAAAACCCTCTAACACGGAGACCAAAATACACCTCCACCTGGCACTCCCCACACCTACCGCCGGCCGAAAGTCACCTACCCCAACCACCACCAGTCACCCGCAGAGAGCAAGCCTCCCACCCCCCCCCCCCCCCCCCCCCTGCCACTCTCCACACTTATTTTTGGTTCGTGTATCCCCCAAAAACCTGTCGTGGCCACCCATCCAAATCCCAGCGGTCTCCCCCAGAGACAGCACTCCACTCAGCCCCGCACTGCCCACCGGAGAC